ATTCCATCCGTAACAACACTATAATGGGTGTTTTCCCCAGATGAAGTACTCCTGACCTTTGTTTTTATAAGCTCTGGCCTACTCATCCTCCTCCTACCAAAAGCCATGTCACTCTTGCCTCATCACAGGCTTCTTTATGACTCTCTACCTCAACTCTTGTTTGACCACTTCTTTATTAACTAACTATATTTCTCATTTTCTATACTTTTTAAAAAATATATATTTTATTGATTTTGTACAGAGAGGAAGTGAGAGAGATAGAGAGTTAGAAACATCGATGAGAGAGAGAGTCATCGATCAGCTGCCTCTTGCACACCCCCTACTGGGGATATGCCCGCAACTAAGGTACATGCCCTTGACCGGAATCCCGGGTCCCTTCAGTCCCCAAGCCGACGCTCTTTCCATTGAGCCAAACCGGTCTCGGCTCATTTTCTATACTTTTGATGCTCTGGTATATGGGGTCTAGTTGACTAGGGAGAAACTGCCCCAATTCTTAGAAACAGCAAAAAACTCACCAACAGGTGTGACTTTCAAATGCAAACTAACCAATCCAGAGCCCTTACTCTGAACCACCTCCTTTATGTAGCTTTTACATCACAAGTAACATTTCTCTACTTTAATCACCCCAGGCCCAGACTGGACAACTATGGATCACCCCTACAGCCCAGAACTTCCAGAAATTGTTAGTTAATCCTAAACCTACTCTGCTGCTTACCCCACCTCACCCATTACTTCATCAATTCTTTTCTTCTAGCTTTTTCTTTTTATATTGAATTTTTAAAATTTATTTTGGTATAAGAGGTGAAAGAGATCCAGTTTTATTTTTCCCCCCAAATGGTTAGCCAGTTATCCCAAAATTATTTATTAATCTATAGGGGTCTGAAATCTTATCATCTACTAAATTTCCAGATATATATTTATTTTTGCTTTTGGACTCTATTCTTTAGGATCTCCTATCCTTTTACCATAATTTAATTATTGCGACTTGACAGTTTTAAGTGAGCAGAGTTACCCCTCATCACTATAGTTTTTCATGTCCTTTTCAGCCATTCTTACCTGTTTGAAAACATTTTTCTAATTTGATTTGAGAATATTTTCTAAAATTCCCCTCCTCTCTCCAAACCTTGTATTCTATTTTATCAAATTTACAGATTGACATAGGAGAAACCACATTTGGATATTATTAACTTTTCATAAATAGTACAAATCATTTTTTAAAATGTTTTCTATGACTCACAGTAGCAGTTTATTTTCTCATTATGTTGGTTATTGCTGGCATATAGAAAAAGCTTTTGTATTCTATGTATTTCTATGACTTCAACTCAAACTAAGTGGCTTAAAAAAACAGAAATTTATTGTCTCATAAGGCTAAAAGTCCAAAATTTAGGTTTTGGCAGCCATATTCTCTCTCAAGAGATCTAAGTGAGAATCTGTTCTATGGCTTTCTCTTACCACCTAGTGTCACCTCGGTGGCCCTTGGCTTGCAGCTATATAATACCAACCTTGCCTGTTGTCACACGGCCTTCTCCCTGTCCTCATACTGTCTTATTAGGATGCCAGTCATATCAGATTAGGGTCCTACCTTACTGCAAGGACCCTATTTCCAAATAAGGTCATATTCTGAGGTAGTGGGGGTGGCGATTTCAACATATCTTTTGGGGGAACATAATTCAACCCATAAAAATTCTATATATTCATTTTGTAAGTACCTACTTTAATTTCTTCATTGCTTCTAATTATTGTAAGGATGACTGACTCACATTTTCCTGATATATATCTTATCAACTGCATATGAAAATACCTTTTCCAATACTTTCGTTTTTATCCTTTAATTTCATTGATTAGTACCTCATCACATAGCCAATAGGTACTCATCTTTAAAAATTTTTGCTTCATGCCAAAACAGGTTTGGCTCGGTGGATAGAGCGTCAGCCTACGGACTGAAAGGTCCCAGGTTCGATTCGGGTTAAGGGCATGTACCTTGGTTGTGGGTACATCCCCAGTGGGGGATGTGCAAGAGGCAGTTGATCGATGATTATCTCTCATCGATGTTTCTAAATCTCTATCCCTCTCTCTTCCTCTCTGTAAAAAATCAATAAAATATATTTTTTAAAATACTTTAAAAAATAAAAATTTTGCTTCATTCCCTGGCCAGATAGTTCAGTTGCATGGAGCATCATCCTGATAGGCCAAGGTTGTAGGTGTAATCCCCATTAAGGGCACATACAAGAATCAATCAATGAAAGCATAAATGGGTAGAATAAATCGATGTTTTGCTCTCTCAAATTAATGAATTAAAAAAATAAAAATTTTGCATTTTTTGAAATTTGAATTTGACTACTGAGGTGAAACATTAAAAAACTACCCATTTGCATTTCTTCATTTATGAACTGTGCATTTCTATACTTTTATATAGTGGGACTTTTTGTAATTTGAAAGGCTCTTTGTGCATTAAAAATATTAACCTCTTGTGACATGATAGTACCTTGTTAACTATTCAGCAGTCAACAGAAAGCACAAAACAAAGGTGCAGATCTACTGTAACACAAATTAATTTTACCTTTCTATGCAACAGTCCAATGCATGAACAAATACCTCTCATACTATAAGAGCATTAAGACTAACCGTGGAGTGCAATGTAGATTTATATAAAGCACCCTTGAAAATTTAAAGTACACTAATACTTTTAACTATTTCATAATGCATCATTTCTAAGGCATTTCATTTCTTTCCAACTACAGCACTCAAAAGATTATGAAGGACTAAATTATCTGATTAACCCTTTCATGCCAAATGCTTAACAGCTTTTGCTCACATGCACATCAAGTTTACACTGACATTTAAAGCCTTGTCTTGCCATCAAAGGATTATTCTGTCCTTGGTTTATCTAAATGACCAAATAATAAGATTTAAGATAACCAGCTGTAGAATATGTCCTTATTAAATTTGATAGAATTTTTAAAAGCCAAGTAATGTAATAAAGTTTGCAAAGTAATTTAGATTAACCAGGTTTGACTGCTCAATTTGGAAGTGATTCAATACATAGGTATAAGCATAGAGACAGTTTTTAAATATTAGGCTTTGAATGTTCCTGACTAGAAAGTCAAGAAATGTTAAATGAACAACCTATATAAGGGTAATATGCAAACTGATCAAACAGTGGAACAACTGGTCACTATGAGGTGCACTGACCAACAGGGGGCAGACACTCAATGCAGGAGCTGCCCCTGATGGGTCAGTGTGCTGCCACAAGGGGAGCACCACTCAGCTAGACGCTGGGCTGATGGCTGGTGAGTGCAGTGGCAGGAGCAGGTGCATTTACTACCTCTGTGGCAGTGCTAAGGATGTTTGACTGACAGCTTAGGCTCACTCTCTCTGGGGAACGAGCCTAAGCTATCAGTTGGACATCCTCTAGGGGCTCCTGGACTGCGAGAGGGCGCAGGCTGGGCTGAGGAAACCACCACCCCCAGTGCACAAATTTTCATTCACTGGGCCTCTAGTCTATCCTATATAATGAGATAATATGCAAATTGGCGATCATGCCCTCACAAAGATGGCTGCCTATGACCAGGCCTTCAGGGGGGTTAGTGAGGGATGACCAAATGACTTAACAAGCAGGCTGTGTGGGGCCACCAGGCCAGTGGGGGCAGGGGAGCACCATGAGGGGGCGATGTTAGGGGCACCCAGGTCAGCAGGGGGGCCATGAGGGGCAACTAGACTGGTGGGAGGGCAGTTGAGGGCAACCAGGCAGGCAAGCAGGTGAGCAATTAGGAGCCAGCAGTGCAGAATTGTGAAAGGATGTTTGTCTGCCGGTTTAGGCCTGATCCCCAGGGATTTCACGCACTGGGCCTCTAGTTATGATATAATGTTTTAACTATCTTGCATTACTCATCCCATTTCTTTCCAAGGGACTTTTTCATACTTATCACCTGGAACAAAATAGGAATAAGGATGGATAACCTAGTTCTTCGGATGTTAATACCTCACCAGAATGCAAATGTCCTAAAAGCCCAGACAGAAAGCTGCTGTCCAAATCTTTGGGGAAGTACTTTGATTTACTAGAACTGAATCCCCTTTATTCAAGAATGTCCAAGTGAAATTCTAGAACCTAATAGCATTAAAACTAGTTTAGATTTGGTGACTTTATACATTCCACACGTTATATTTCTATTTATTAATCTATAAACTTTCTTAGAAATAACATGCCTTTGTTGTATAGAAAACAATAGGGAAAAGTTGGGCTTACCACTTGGTTCTATCATTTGTATGTCTTTGTTTTGCCTATCTGTTCTACAGAAGCCACTGTGTTAACTAGGCTTACAAGGACTAACAAATGTTAACTGATTATACTTTACCATGACACTTTATACCAACAATGTGTATAACTTTGTGCTCATTCACTTACATAACTGCTCTGACACTTTAGAAGTTTTATAGATGGAGAGAATTTTTATAAAAATAATCTTTTTATATTATTTTATCAGGGTAGTGTTTTTCACAACCCAACAGCAGGTGGTCATGATCACTATTTAAAAAAAGAAACAGGATAAAAAACATCTGAGAAATTGTACATATCAAGATACTCTGTTTTATGTATATATAGACCCCATATATATATATAGTGGGTCACAGTGGAAAATGTTTCTTAGTGAGGTTTGTGATCTAAACAGTTTGAAAAGCTCTGTGTGATGTTTGGGATGTGGTTGAATCCTTAATAGCATTCTTTCACTCCAGAAGTTAGAGATAGTCTTGCTTTTCACTTATTCTACAAATATTTTTTAGTAACTGTTATATGTTGGTTGCGGGTCAGGTGTTGACAGCAGGGAGAAAAGGCAACATTACTTTTGGAAATTTCTACCTATTGTTACTCAGATGTAGGGTTTTAATAAAAGCTTAAAAACAAGTTAATGCTGAATTACTTACAACTGTTCTTAATTTAATGTGCCTCTTGGCCATAAAAATGTAAGCAGAATGTGTCAGAAATTTCCAGGAATAATCCTTCACAGAATGGTAAGCTTTTTGCTGCTTCTCATCAGTACCTAAAGAGAGATCCAGTATAAAATCTATATTTGTGATAGGAATTGTCTAAAGACACACACACACACACACACACACACACACACACACACTTTTTAAAATCTACCTTTCTTTTTGGCAAGACAATAATTTTTCCCATAAATAAGCTTCAGGTCCTGGCTATAAAACTTCTTTCAATATTATTTTTCTCTTATTTTTAGGGATATTTATATCTGTATCTAATGTTATGTTCTCTTAAAGCTTTAATTCATTGGTCAGGATACCATTTGCTATGAATATGTACAATCTATATATATAAAAGCCTAAGTGACCAGAACACCAGAACGACCACAATGACCAGAATGACTGGTCACTATGATGCACACTGACCACCAGTGGGCAGATGCTCAATGCAGGAGCTGCCCCCTGGTGGTCAGTGTGCTCCCACAGCCAACCTCCTGTGGCTAGCTAACCTTTCCTGGTCCCTCCCCATAGCCAGCCAAACTCCCGTCATCCTTCCTTCCATCCAGTAGGCCCCAGCTGGCAGCCAGCAGGAAGGGGGCTTGGCCCCTGATCATGAGCCAGGCCCAAGGACCCCACCTGTGCAAAATTTCATGCATCAGGCCTCTAGTATTTATATATTTAGCAAAAGATTGAAATGAAATGTTTTACATTTTATTCAAAAACACCTCAAATGCTTTCTTTAAATGATATCATATTTGGATAACTAAGTATACCAAAAATAAAAAAAGTAAAAGCCAACTTGTCCTGGTGATTAATAATTCCATTTACAAAATATTTTCAAGTCTCCTGGTACTAAAATCTCTAATATTAAACCTCAGTATAAAATTTTATATTGTAATTATAATTTTTATTTCCTCACTCTTAGCCCCTACGCAAGTACTTTTAAAATAGCATATAATATGTTTTAAGATGATGACATCAATTTAGAAATGCTCCTCATGTATGTTACTCTCTGATAAAGTAATTTTCTGCACATAAAGATTTTTAAAATGTTACATTCTGTGTTTTAAAACAAGAATAGCCTTTATAAATAACCCTAGGAAAGAACAGTATTATTTTCTCCTTCTCTAATCTTTTTGACATATCCAATACATGTTTTGATTTCTAGTGATCATTTGCAACTTCACAAATAAGACCAACCATAGTCTAATTATGTATTTTATAGTTGCAAAAATTCAAGTTTGTTATTTTTTCAATTATTAAAGTTTAAGTGCTATTATTACTATTTTGGTTCAGTAGATAGCTGCTCATGTTAGGCTTGTGATATAAGCTCATACACATTTTCTAAAAATAGAAGAAAACTAAATGTGTTGTCATATATTTTTAGAAAATAAACTCTAATGGTTAGGTAATGGGCTTATAATTGTACTGAAAACAAAAACAAAAAACAACCCTGTGATAAAGCAATGCCCTTTTCCAATTAATCAAAAATAATCCAGGTTTAGCTATGGCCAGTGTATTTTGGAACTGGCTCCTATCTTCCCAACTCTCTTCAAAGATGTCACGTTAGTAGCTTAAAATCACTTGCAGGATGGAATTTAGACACAAAAAATCAGCAAAAGCTACAACTGAGAGGTTCCTCTCCCACCTCGAAGAGCCATTAAACATTTCCCAGAAAACTAATGGGCAATAATTATTATTTCTTTAAAATACAATTCAATTCTTTATTGTTCATAGGAATCTTATTTGAATGGTTGGTGTTTTCTGTGTAAATTTATCTTCCTGGAAAAAATTTAAATGTTTCCCATTAGTTTATAATAATGAAACTGTTAGGCTTTGAAGGCATAAATATGTGAGGCCTCATCCATAGACAGGTTTTTTCTTTTCTTATTAGGAAGATAAACCCAATTCAGAATAAACTGTTAAAATTTAGATTTTTATGTGGAAGAAAATCAGGACTCAATACTGATGTTAGTTCATGCATTTATTCATCAAATATGTATTATTTATTTTTCAAATATGTGTTATTTTTACTTCTTTTCCCTATGCCAGGCATTGTTAATCGGTACAACAGTGAAAAAAAAAAAAAAATTCCCCCCCAAAATTGTTTTGGATTTTTCTCTAAAACAATAAAATGGTACCGATAGCTGTTTTTAACTCAAACCACGCTTATGAAGCAACAGAACCGATTTTGATTGTGTCAAAAAAGTCTGTGATTTAATAATGAAAGGTTAATTAAAATATTTTGTAAAAAAGTATAAAATAAACAATTTTATTAGGCGAATTCATTTATTTGACACATTAAATTAGGCAAAGAAAAATATATGTAACTGCATAAAAAGAATCACATTCTAATCCAAATTGAACACACAGCAGTGGTTAAAACTAATAAATTGCGGAATAAATCTAGGATTAATTGCAAAAAAGCACTCTGTACAAAAAAGCTTCAGACCTCTAACTTCACTGAATCCAGTACTAAACGTGCTTCTTTATATTCCTCAGCTTCTTCCAATTCTTTTTCATTCTCCTGAAATGAAATATAATGAAAGGAAGTTTATCTTTTTAAAACTTTAGTACTTTATTTTCACTCAAATATTATAAACCATCAATGTAAACAGCAAGAAAATTAAAAGAAAAAGGATCCCAAGCTTTTCTTACAGGTAACAATGGAAATAGGTTTGGTTTGGCCTCACTGTGTATTCTCATATCATAAGTGAAAAACATGTAAAGCTACTGACATTAAGTGAATAAAAATTTAAGAAAAAAAATTTAAAAATTTATTCTTACTTTGTTAACACATCACAATACAAAAAGGATTATTATTACTAAGACTAAAAGTTAAAAATGATGATTTATTAACATGTTACATATACAATAAAATTTAAAACAAAATAACCCTTCAACTAACTACTCACAGTGACAAAGACTACTGGTGATACACTAGAGTTAAGTACAATCTTTGAATTAGAAAACTGAAATGCCTGCTTATTAATGAGAATTATATGCCCTACTACAAGGAAACAAAATACTAACATCTTTTCTGATATATAAAGACTAAAATTTTCCTTAATATTTTATACAGAAAACCTTTACTGGTAAAAAAATAAATGAAATAATATTACATAAGTTATTGTGCTTAGGAAATTTTGCTAGGTTTTTAATAAATAAATAAAGATATGGTCAGTAATTCATGTCAGGTCAATAAAAGATAAAGCTATACAAGTTACAGAGCAGAGGGAGTAAAGTGTATGTTTAATTAACATAAAACAAGCAAAAGAAGTAAAAATTTCTTAATTCAGACTACTAGTAAAGCATAGAATTCCTTAAACCTCTATATTATATTTAAACATGTCTTTGTTCTCTCTCAGTAAATATAAACTCTTTGAGGGTAAAGATATCGTTGAATACATCCACAAATACATCATCCAAAGACAAAACAATGTATTTTTCAAGCACTTTCTATTACTTTCTCAGCTACTAGATTCATGAGAGAAAAAAGTCATTTAAATTGTTAGGAAATACAGATAGTGCTTCTGTCTCTGGGTGTATTTTAATAGAGTAATTATTTCCTGCTTTCACCTACTTTTATTTTAAAATCTTAGCTTCATTTTTGGCTGTTAAGGAAAGTAATCCTGCCTTTAAAAGGTTCCTACAGGTAAATATGCTCTATGTCAAAACTAAAGTAAAATGTGAACATTTCTCTCTCTTTCTACAGATTTAGTCCTAATACTATTTGGTGAGAAAACAAATCTCATTCTTTCAAAGAATACATATGGTCATCCTGAAAAAGCCTCACATAATTTTTGTTATACAGAGAACAACTATGAGTCAAGAGTCAACTGTGTAGCTAGTAATGAATATTAGCTCAAGAAATATAAATATAAAATGAGATTATTAAATGTTAGAATTCATCGAATTATCATCAAACAATAGTAACAACTGGCTTATATATAGTATTATACTTTAGTCTCAGGAAGAAAATAAGATGACTTAATTATTCTTAGAATTGTTTATAAAATGACTCTGCCACTGTATCACAAGATATTTATAAAGCAAGTTTAATAGTGTTATCCACCTCCAAGTTAGTATGAGAGGACTGCCTACATTATAGGAGTTTTTTTCCACTTAAATTAATTAAGGTTTCAATCTGAAAGAATTCCAGATCCTTTTTATTATGGTCCAAATTAATTTGAAACATTTGGATCTTCGAAAATTTCAAACAATGTGTAAAAAAAGATATTCATGTATCCAAACCAAATAATTCAAGATGCTGGGGTACATTATTAGTACCATGAATACCTAACAAATTAAGTCAAATATATTTATTTAAGTTTAAATAAGCAGAATAAACATACTATACATAGTACTTTTACTGGAGGCCTAACTTAAACACAATTTACACTCTATAAATTATTTTAAAATATACTAGTACACAGGGAAAGTGAACAAAATATGTCATCAGCTAGTTTTCAGTATAAAAATATTTAACATTTTGGCCTTTTATATATTAGATTGAAAAAAATTTTAAACAAAAGACAGAGAAGTCTTTACTTACTAATATCTGCAGAAGATCAGTATATGCAGCTTCCAATCTGCGCTGGCAATCTGGGATCATCATCCGGGACTCTTGCAAGATCTCTGCCTATAATAAGAATATCTGTGAGACATGCAGAAATAACAGAACATAAGTGTTTAGCTAACACCCCTGTAAATGTCTAAAGTGGTTTAGAGGAATCAGTAAAAAATTATGGATATGTAAAACAGTTCAATATTTTAATTTAAATTGTGTTTATTAGAAGTTAGAAATTAGAAGTTTATTACTGTAAAATATATAAAATACAAGTTATAGATCTAAACCTTTTTGGTAATCACTTTTTTGTGCTAAGTGAAAATTAACTAGAAAAGCTTTCCATAGAACATGTATTTTAAAAGGCTATTTAAAATAAACTATTTCTCCTGCTGTCATGAAGCACCTTTATCCAAAATGGGATCAGCTGGTTATATAAATATCTCCTGCATCTTTTGAGTAATAAAGAAAAACAGTGTTCAGATAATATCACATGGAGATAATTACTGCATGAAAAAAGTTATTGAGTTATTGATCACATTGTGTGCACACTGCAGGAGGTTCTCACTGAAAGAAAGAGGTAAAGAAAAATGAAAAGCAAAGACCAGCAGGTTCATATTTTTGATGCTTATCATGCATAAAAAGTTATTACTTATCCTTGTGCTTCATTTTAGGAGACAGATTATTCTCCCCATGTAGTTTGAGCCAAATTACCAACCTGGCACCCCTCTGAACCTGAACTTCTGTCTATTCCTCCTGAAGACAGACACTACAGAACTAAACACAGGAATATGTATCCCAGCAGATATTTCTGGACTTCAAATCATTCAAATCTGGACGGTAATATGTAAAATCATAAATAAAAAAAAATCAAATCAATGACTGGGAAAACCAATCAATAAGAAGGTAAATAAGTTAGTTTCAGATGTTGGACCTCAAGTAAGTTTTTTACCGAAAGTGGGGAAGAAACTACATTTCCTTAAACTATTCTCAGAAAGAGACACAGATCTTTTAAGTATTTATTTCCAAAAATTCATGGTTGGCCCTGGTTGGTGTTTCTCAGTGGTTAGAACAGTGGTTCTCAACCTTTCTAATGCCACGGCCCTTTAATACAGTTCCTCATGTTGTGTTGACCCCCAACCATAAAATTATTTTCGTTGCTACTTCATAACTGTAATTTTGCTATTGTTAATGAATCGTAATGTAAATATCTGTGTTTTCCGATGGTCTTAACAGGTACCTGTTAAGACCATCGGAAAACACAGATATTTACACAGATGTTTATAAAACACAGATGTTTTCCGATGGTCTTAACAGGTACCTGTTAAGACCATCGGAAAACACAGATATTTACACAGATGTTTATAAAACACAGATGTTTTCCGATGGTCTTAACAGGTATCTGTTAAGACCATCGGAAAACACAGATATTTACATTACGATTCATTAACAATAGCAAAATTACAGTTATGAAGTAGCAACGAAAATAATTTTATGGTTGGGGGTCAACACAACATGAGGAACTGTATTAAAGGGCCGTGGCATTAGAAAGGTTGAGACCCATTGGGTTAGCGCATTGGCCTGCACACTGAAGTGTCATGGATTCTATTTTGGTCAAGCCAATGTACCTAGTTGTAGGTTTGATTCCCAGCCCCAGTCGGAGCATGAGGGAGGCAACCAATTGATGTCTCTCTCTCACATCAATGCTCTCTCCCTCCCTCCCACTCTCTTTAAAAATCAATGGAAAAAATATCTGTGGATAAGAATTAATAACAACAACAACAACAAAAAGGACAAAAACTTATGTTTGATCAAATCACTTTGGTTAAATGGGTACAAAATCTGAACTTTTACTAAGAAGCTTTATTACCTAACTCATATAAAATAAAAAAGAAAATTTAATGGTAATCATACTATATTTAACAGAAACTTTAAGAAGTCCCAGTACCCTCCTTCCTTTCCCCAACCAACAGTTCTGTCACAGCTCACACTGAAAAAAAATTCAGAATTATAATATACACAGATGCTCTGCCCACATTTTCTCCAGAGAAAATTTGTTGCTGAACTTGTAATTCTTTTACTAATAAAGCACAGGTTAAAATTTTCAAATGTAGAATTGTTACTTTACTTCACAGCAAAGCATAAAATACTTAGATATTTAATTGCGGTCACTAAATTATTTTTATCTGATTAGTTTGAATACATGTAAAAAAAAATCAGTGGCTGGCACATTTCATTAGGTAAGCCATTCATATTTCCTCCCCTATGGAATTCCCTTGAGAATAGTTTATAGAAATTAAACAAGATGAAACAAATAGAAAGAATTAGGTCAAACATATGATAAGCCAAAATGCATACTTGTAAACTTTTTAAAAGCTTTAGTAAGTTGTCACTGAAATAAACTTTAAACAATGCTATCCAAAATAACTTCTACTCATTATTATTTTATCCATTCTTACAGAGCAAGAATCATCAAACAGTTTATGAAAATGAGAGTCTGACCTATGTGAAGACAAAGTTCAATCTTTCCTGTACACCAGCTCCAATTCATTCATTAAACAGCCTATATAGCTGTAGAACACCAGGTAGAGTGGATACAAAGATGAAAAAGAGAAGGTATCCATCTTCCAATCCAGGATAGGAGCATAGACACGAAAACGAACATTTGACACTGCTTCTATAAGAACATGCCACAGGGAGCCAAAGGCTTCCAGTAAAGTGATAACAATGATTTGGGGTCCATAAACCAACCACATTTCTAGCAAGGCCATAAATCATATACTTTACCTCATAACAATGAATTACAACTGTCAGAAGTAATTTTAAAAGACAGTATATAAAGTGTGATTATATAGTAAAGACACCCTCAAAACACCTTTACTAAGCTAAATGAGTATTATCTTTCAAAGTGTTCCCTTTGAGAGGAAGTCACTCAAATGAATGGTGCCTCTGCTGAAAATATCTGAATAAACTGCCAGTTTATTCTAATGCTGACTATGACGAGATTGGAGATAAGTCAGGATCTTGACACAGATTGGGAGGTACAAGGAACCCTCAGGGAATGCAACAGGATGCAGTCCTTCTGTCTTGTTTTTAAAACAAATTACAAATTTTTTGTGGAAGTTATTCAGATCAAATGAAAGTTATGGGAAGCTTAGCAAGGCTCAGATTATAACAATGAATAAACTCTGAGCTAAAATCTTATCAATTTCTTTTAAAATCAAACATATACAAATTGGAAAAAGAAAGCCCTAATCGGCAGATCCTTCTTTTGTTTTCCAGAAAGAAGTATTCTATGAAACAATCTGGCTAAGGTTAAGTTCTTTTGCAATTACTTGACTGGGATAAGGTTTCTAGCTTCTTTAATGATCCAGATCACTCACCCAGGGTTGGCTATACCTATGATAATCTATAGACACTTTAATATTGTATACTGACTGCTTCCGGAACCAATGGTAACTGCACTAAGTTTGCCAAATTGAACTGTAAATAAGTGAAGAGATTACTGAACAATGGTTAAAAGTCTTTCCTTTTATATGGTGGTAAAATGGTTATCTATTTACCGGTATCTATCTATCTGTCTATCTATCTATCTATCTATCTATCTATCTATCTATCTATCTATCTGAAACCCTAATATGCAAATAGACTGAACAGTGGAACTAAACTGGTAGCTATGATGTGCGCTGACCACCAGGGAGCGCATGCAGAACATGGTGGGTGCTGGCCATGGTGGGATGATTGAGCAGGTGAGTAGGGGTGCCAGACCAAAGCAGAGCTCCAGTTGCTATCATCGGGGCGAGCCTCTGGTATTTATTGAAAATTCTTTGCTCCCGCGCTCCAGTCCTGCTGCTGGCTCTGGCCCCGCTCACACCCACTGCTGGTGCCCAGCGCTGACCCTGATTACTCAGCACCATCAGCAGGTGTGAGCAGCGGCTGCTGGTCCTGATTGCCCCTCAGTGCTTCTCTACCTCCCCCTGCTCCTGAGGAGCAATCAGGGCCAACAACTGCTGCTTGCCCACACTGATGGCACTGGAGCCGACCTCACACCCACTGCCCACATGCACCAGCCTCACTTGCACCTGCAGCTGCTGCTGGAGCTGCCACTGGCACCTCCTGCTGGTGCCCGGTGTCGATCCCGATTGTTTGGCTCTGTCAGCAGGTGCAAGTGGTGGCTGCTGGCCCCAACTGCCCCTGAGGGCTTTGCCACATTTTTCTGCTCCTGAGGGGCGATTGGGGCAGCAGCCACGGCTCATACCCGCTGACAGCACCAGCCCTGCTCACACCTGCTGCTTGCGCTGGACCCAATTGTTCTGTGCCATCAGTGGGTGTGAGTGGGGCCAACAGTGGGAGCAGGGCTGCTGTCAGACAGGAGATCAGGGGCTGGGGTGGGGTGAGGGGGCTGAGAGGAGGCGAGGAGGATGGGCTGAGACCATGATCACCCCCCTCCTACCCTAATAGGGGGTGAGTCAGCCGGCCAACCTCCTGCTGTCTCCTCCTGACAGGCCCAGCCCCGAATCATTCCAACTGGGGCCAGGCCAGCCAGATCCCACCATGCATAAATTCGTTTATTGGGCCTCTAGTAAATAATAATTGCAAAGTGTTTTGAGAAATCTTAGTTGAAATATTGTACCAATTTATCTTTTTACTATTACTTATGGAAAATAAATGAGTAATCTCAGGTGAAATAAAAGACATGTCATTATTAGCCAATCATTTTTGTTCTAGGAGAAGTTTAAAGAAAAGAAAAAAAAAGACCAGAATACCTTCCTTGGTTGAAGGCAAATCATCTGTACCTATCCTTAATTGAGGATTGAAGAGAAGACTAAAGAAAAAGAAGTATATGAAAACTAGAGAGCTAAAATTAATTTGGGCAATATTTGAATGTTATGTAATATTGTTTAGCCAGAAAAGAAAAGAATAATCGAATAACTGACTGATATTTTTGCCTCTTGAGTCCTGAAAATTCTACCTAGTTACTTATTTTAAAAGAACCAAAATTAGGCCTAGTTCAGGAAAAACCAATTTTGACAAACAATTTCAGAGAAGAAGTTTGACTGACAACATCATACATGTATGTTATAATACAGGGCCAGTTCAGAAGACTCAGGGAAACCAGAGCAAAATGGATCCAAGAAAGAGAAGAGTCAAGGTAGTGAGAAGTGGCTGAGGACAGCATTTAACTCAGAAGAGGAGAAAATACAGGGAGAAGACTACAGAACACACAAAATGCAGCACTTGGCTTCCTTGATATTTTCTAGGAGGAGTATAGCAAATGACAAGAGACCACTATTGACCTTAAAGTTCTAGGCAATCAAGAATAGAGCAATGCTTCTGGCAATGCAACTCGAGCTACATATAATACAAAACATGAATGGCTGGCCACATTATAGCTAAAGCTAGCAAAAGGAAATTGAGAAAGCTTGTGAAAGCTTTGGGTTGGGCTAAAGACAGGTTTCATGAGACTCTGAAACAAAACTGCAAATGGCACTGTATACCTTGCAGGTTGACAATAGCAAACAGAAAAATTTATTGTTCTGTAAATAGATATGGGATGGTATTTTTGAGTACTAGATAGACTAGGAATCTAAAAAATCATGTTATAAACCATGAGCACTGTGACAGAATAAGTTTAACATGAATGAGTATAAAAAGAACTTTTGAACAAAAAATTTTCCCTTGTATATCTGAATATGTAATTAATAATATAAACAGTAAGTGGCCAATATTTTTAAGTAACAATTAGAATCAGGATTCAATAGAGTTAGTCCTTACCTATATCAAGCAATAATTTATTTAAAAGATGATAAATATATAAATTCAAATGAAATAAAACAGATGTGACATTATTTGAAGAATTTAATTTAGTAAAGGAACACATTTATTCCCCATTCCATGTAACTTACAACTCCTATTCTAACTATAGGGCTATTTAAAAAATATATATTTATTTTTATTGATTTCAGAGAGGAAAGAAGAGGGAGAGATAGAACATCAATGATGAGAATCACTGATTGGCTTCCTCCTGCATTCCTACTACGGGGGATTGAGCCCGCAACCCAGGCATGTGCCCTTGACCAGAATTGAACCCGGGACCCTTGAGTCTATAGGCCGACACTATCCACTGAGCAAAACCAAGGCTATTGTGAAATAGATTAATGGTGATATAAATGAGGCCACTAGTTACACACTTGGAAAAATCAGCCCAATTTCTTTGATCCAAGAAGAATCTAGAATAGGTTATATATATACTATTGTTATTTTTCATTAAATGTGAGAAAACAATAGAGGCATTAAAGTGAGAGACGTACAAAAATGATATGAATATATATGGGAGTATATATTTAAAAAGCACTTAACCATCTTTATTTTAAGAATCAAAAAGTTATAATCCATATGTAAATCTTCTGAAGATTTGTAGGATTTGAAGAGCTGTTAGTTCATCAAGGTCAACATATTTGGGGACAGACTATATTTACATGTTTTCAAATCCTCCCCAATTCATGAATAACTGACTAGACAAATGTCTTTTGCTATGTACACACACAGAAGAAGGAAGGCTCTCCTAGAAGCTAAAGAAAATAAGAAGGTTTTCTTCCTGGATAGCTTAGGAAAGAAGATGTTTCAGTTGCCACTGCATTTCTTTTGCACCACAAAAAGCAACTACCTACAAAAAAATCCACTTTAAGTGATGATGTTTGCAAAATTAAGTCTGGATTAAAAGTGCACTACTACCATTTGTAACATAATTTATAGGGAGAAAACCAGAGTTCATAAAGCTGAATTAAAATATAAATGTTGAGATTAATCTGTATAAATTTGTTCCTACTTTGTTTTTTCCTAGTGTCATCTGAATTTTATTCTTAATGCACTGGACTTTAGATTTTAAAGGAGAAGTGAATTTGAAGAGATCAACCTGTGTGTTTTGGTAGAGAAGGAATAGAGGGTGTCAAGAGACATACAGGTATGCCAACTAGGAGGCTTTTGCAATAGTATAAGCAAGAGATGATAGCGAACTGGGATAGGAAGGTGGCAGTAAAAAGAAATAGAGGGAATAAGAAACAGGACTTGATGTTTATTAGATGTGGTTATTAGAAAGAGAGAGATGTATCAAGAAAGGACCCACTAAATTCTTGATTTGGGAATCTGGATGGGTGAAAGTAAGCATTTTCAATTGAGGAGGAAAATAAGAGAGGTGATATATATAGCTTTTTGATATATATATATCTGGGGTGGTCATGCCCAGGGATGTAAATGTGGGAGATATTGGCACTAGGGTTTGGGGAATTTTGTTTGTTGTGTTACTATTTTTAACTTCATGACTAAAAGGGTACCTAGAATGTATAAATCAATAACTATCTGTTGAATGAATAAATAAATGGGCATAAGATGGCACTTAAATTTACAGGAGGGTGGGAGATTACATAGAGAGGGATTTTAGAAATCTTAAAAGTTTAATAAAATGTGTGTGTGTATGTGTGTGTAGAGGTGGGGTAGATAAATAAGTGGATGAGGAGGGAGAGAGGAAAAAGTTTCAGTAATTGAGGAATACTGGCAGTGTAATAGAAAGAAAGCCAGGAGACTATTCTATTAAAGATGCCAAGATACAAGTGTGTGTCAAGGAAAGAGTGGTTACTGTGCCAAATGCTGTTGAGGTTACATGAGGGAAAGAAGTGATAACAATGTCACTAATGGCTGTAACCAGGGCTAGGGCATGCATTTCTCTCTAATACGAAAGAAGGTGATATGGGTACAGATGTAGGTAGGTTGATAGATTCTGTGGTGGGAATATGAGGAAGTTCCCCTGATAGCCTCTGTTTTTGTTAGCCTAGAATGAATATTTAATAAATGCTATCATTGGAATAAATAAGGTGTTATGGGAGCACAGAGGATGTGGCAGGACTTACCTGCTTTTTAAGGGCATAATTTTCACTATCTTCAGCTTTCATTTTTTCAATCTTTTCTTCTTGTTGTTTTGCTTCTTTTTCATACATCATTTTTTCTTTGGCCAATCTAAAAATAAGCCAAAAACTTTTCAGAGAATTAACTCTATCAAAGAGACCACAACAAATAAAGAAACTATATAAATATAAAACACTTAAAATACCAAAGTGTAGATTGGGAGAAGGAAGAAGAAAAACTTTTTATCCATTTATGTTTGATCTCCATGCCCGTAAGTCCTACCTACACCTGCGTAAAGCAAATGCAATCTGTCAAAACATGCAATTCTTAAATTTTTAAAATATATATTTTTATTGATTTCAGAGAGGAAGGGAGAGGGAAAGAGAGATAGAAACTTCAATGAAGAGAGAGGATCATTGATCGGCTTAATGGGGTTTACGCCCACAACCTGGGCATGTGCCCTGACCAGGAATCAAACTGTGACTTCCTGGTTTATAGGTGGAGGCTCAATCTCCAAGCCATACTAACAGGGCCAATTCTTAAAGTTTTAATGAAAAAACATATCCCATTATAACTACTGTATTTACAATGTAAAAGTAACACTCAAAATTATTATCTACTAACATTTCTGTCTTGCTTTTAAATGTTTTCTAAACTTTTATACATTTACTTGAAAGAACATAATATAAAAGCTCAGCTTACAAGGGAAAAAAAAATCAGTATAGTGCATGCCAAATCCAAAACAAAGAAATATTAGATTATTTTCAACAACTGAATTGTTTGACAAGAATTCACTGTACTCATAATTTGATGCCTGACCTTCCTTGTGTGAGAAACTGGGATAGATAGTTTAGACATGGTTCTTTCACGGACAAGTAATAGAAACAAACAAGTATTTATTTACTAAAGCAAGAAAGGTATTGATGTAGATCAGGCAGATTTTAAACAATAAAAAAGAGAGCAATACAAAGTTCTACTGATTATTCCTTTAGATAACCAAAATTAGATTAACCATAACAGCTCAACCTCCCCTAATTCTGGTTACATAAATTTTAATATAAAAGTATAGCCCTGGACAGTGTGTCTCAGTTGGTTGGGCATTATCCCACACAATGCAAGGTCTCTGGTTTGATTCCATCAGGGCACATGCCCAGGTTTGGGCTCAATCCCTGGTTGGAGGTGTGCAAGAAGCAGCCAATTAATGTTTCTCTCTCACATTGACGTTTCACTTTCCCCCTCTTCCTTCCTCTCTCTCTAAAAATCAATTAAAAAATCTTTTAAAAAAACTGCTTTCCAAAAGGGTGATATCAATTAATTCTGAACCTGCAATGTATAAAATTTCCTATTTCTTCCTTTCATCATTGTAAACAACTATAATTGTAAAAATTATTAAGTTTCTTATCAAGTATATACTATACCAAAGTCTGCTATAGTCACAGTCTATGTCTATTTGGCTATGTCTTCACTAAAAATAAAGTTTTCTGATCATTAAAAAATTATTAAATTTCTGACAATAAGAAGAGTGTGAAATGATATTAAATTATGGTTTGAAATATTAATTTATTAGAACAGTAATTACTGTTGGTGGTGAAACAGCACCAGAATGTTACCAGTGATTGGACCTTGGTTCAACAACCAGGATATTGTAATTGAGTTTTGGCTAAGAAAGAATTCAGTGTCAAGACTCAAATATAAGCAAAGGTTTAGTTAGAAAGTTACAGAGCAGAAGTGAGCTATGGAAGAAGTTGAGCCAGCTCAGGAAAAAAAGTGATAGAGGCAAAAGAAGAGCCCTTGGAGCTTAGAAGAAAGAAAGCAAACAGACACACCTGAAGGAAGAGGCATGAGCAGTTCTAGAGCTAGCGAGCTAGAGAGCACTTGCACTGGGGTCCTCAGTTCTGAGTTTTTATCCTCTCCTTAAAGGTAAGGGACCTTAGGAGAGGTGTCTCAATATCTCAAATAGAATATTCATCAGCTTTTCCAGTTGTGTCCTTTCACGATCTCTACTGATAGGTCGGGATCAGGGCAGAGGGTCATTAATCATCAGCTGGTCATCTCAGCTGGCCTTGCTGCTTTTCTGGCCTGGGGCTAAAACATAACTAAGGCCTAGAAGTTATCTCTAATTTGACCAAAACTCTGTCTATGACCCAAGGCTTTGTTCCTAAGATAATTTGATGTGGGTCAGAATCTCATTGTTTTGAGGGCTTAATGCTTAAGAGGGTAGTGGTGAAAGGGCTTGTATGATAGTCTTATGAGACTATTCTCTAGGTCCCTTGTTCCTCCTCTAAGGGGGTCTATCACATGACTAGCGACATCAGAGGAGGAAAAGTCAGGGGAGAGCCTGACCGCATGATTAGTGATATGAAAGATCATAGGGTCTACATTGAATGACCAGTGATATGCAAAGGTAGGAAAGGTCAGCCTAGGGGTGAGATCTGTATTTCCCGGTTTTGCTGGTTGCTAGATACTGGAGGCTTTTCAACCTGGTGATGTTTTGTACCTGGCCAATCTTCCTACTCTGCTCATGTCTGTCTAAATGTCTAATACAGTGGTTGGCAAACTCAGTCAACAGAGTAGCAAACCGTAGCTCGCGAGCCGCATGTGGCTTAAGAGCCACAGTTTGCCGACCACTGGTCTAATATAATTACTGGATAAGTATTTTCTGAATAATGAATGAGTCTCTTCTGATGAATTTGGCCCTTATTCCTTACTCTAGGGAAGGCTAGGATTTAATAAGAAAATTTAATTCAATTAAGTATATACAGTCACAATTTAAAAATCTGCTACTAAAATACTGTTTTCTGTAACAAACATATATGTTTCTATAAATACAGAACTATATAAAAATTATAATGAATAAAACCTTAAAATTCATTCAAAATTTCATTGCTCAAATTAAGTACTACTGATCCAAAATGCACATAATTCTGAAATAAAAGTTAAAAAAAAGTCTAAATTAAGTTTGGCACAAACTCACTTAGCAGCAAATTGTGTCCTCAAATGACATGAAGCTACTTTATGTAGCCTACTAAATAAATGTGAATAGTACAGGTCTTACTACAGAAATATTAATGTCTGATTATAGTACTTCTCTAAATGCTATTATGTAAATGCTCATGTAACTTTCAAAACCTGAAAAAATCTGAAATTCAGAAATACACATGGGCTCAAGAGTTTCATAGAAGCAATTATGGACCTGTATTAGCATTATTTTTCAGTTGTCTTTCTCTTTAAACATGTATGTGTAAAAATTAATATATAAATACAAATATACATATATTTATAAATAAGATAATGTATAATTTTCAATGTCATTAAACATTCTTTTGAAAATAATGTATAATTTTCAATGTCATTAAACATTCTTTTAGTGGCTACAAAGCATTTTAATAATATTAATACAACAACTTATTAAGGTGTCCTATCAGACATTTAGGAAAGCCCCATATTATAAATACTGTGATGAACAGTCCCATCCCTACTCATCAATTTTGTGAGTGTGTAATATTTTCTTACTACAAAATATTTAAAATAATAATGCCTGATGAGAAATAAGACTAAGTTCTTTTCTAGTAAACCAGTGATCATTTACTGATGAATACTTCCTTTTCCTGCTATGATAAGCCACCTTTGTCATTCATTATTGTTGGTAATACACAAATATTAAATCAATCTATCCTATTTTACCCTACTACTTGGTATTTCATTTTAGTAAAAAAAAAAACCCACAAAAAACAATAAGCCAGATTTCTCTGTTTAAACATTAATAAGCATATAAAAATTTACATTAAAGAGATGTCAAATTATAAAGAGAAATATAAGGAAAATGAAACATTAAGAGAAAAGAATACAGTAAATCTGATATTCAATAAGAATACAGAAAAAAAGCAAGGGAAGCTGAAACTGGTTTGGCTCAGTGGATAGAGCATTGGCCTGTGGACTGAAAGTCCCAGGTTCGATTCCGGTCAAGGGCATGTACCTTGGTTGCGGGCACATTCCCAGTAGGGGATGTGCAAGAGGCAGCTGATCGATGATTCTCTCTCATGGATGTTTCTAACTCTCTCTCTCTCTTCCTCTCTGTAAAAATCAATAAAATATATTAAAAAAAAAAAAAAAAAAAAAAAGGGAAGATTAAAAAAAAAAAAATTTCCTATCACTGGCCAGTGTGGCTCAGTTGAATGGAGTATTTTCCCAAACACCAAAACATGGTAGGTTCAATTCCATGGTTAGCATATACCCAGCTTGCTAGTTCGGCATGTACTGGAGGCAACCAACCAATGTTTTTTTCTCAAAAATCAAAAATAAAATGGCCGAAACTGGTTTGGCTCAGTGGTAGAGCGTCGGTCTGCGGATTGAAAGGTCCCGGGTTCGATTCCGGTCAAGGGCATGTACATTGGTTGCGGGCACATCCCCAGTAGGGGGTGTGCAAGAGGCAGCTGGTCGATATTTCTTTCTCATCGACATTTCTAGCTCTCTATCCCTCTCTCCTCCTCTGTAAAAAATCAATAAAATATATATTTTTAAAAATAATAATAAATAAAACAAAATTTCCCAGAGCTGGAAAAAGAACAACAATATTCATTGAAAGGATTTCCTAATAGAATCAGTGGAGGGGTGGGGGGGGGACCAGGGTTTTGTACATTGTTGGAAACATTGTTGGAAATTTCCAGAGATCCAAGAATATTAAAGCTTTTAAAAAGAGAATAATAGGTCATATATAAGAGGAAAACAAGTCAGATTGATATTACATTTCATGTTACTAACACTAGATACCAGAAGATAAGAAAGCAATCCCTTAAAAGTTCAGAGAGAAAATTATTTATAACCTAGATTTATAACTAAGTAGTGAGGGAAAAATTCACTAACTCACTCAGTACTTATTTACTAAGTGGCCACTAAGTCTCAGGCATAATTTTATGTACCAAGGATATAGCATGAACAAAAGTGCATGTCTATTCCATTAGACTTTTGGGTGGGGAAATAAGGACAATACATAAGTAAAATGTATAGCATGTGAGATTGTGATAAAATGCTACAAAAATAAAATACAGTGAAGAAGAACTGGTAAAACAGAGGATTTGAAATTTAAAATAAGTCAGAGTAGGCCACTTTGA